ATGCTGCCGCTATTGTTGTGCTTTTACTGTTTTGCCCATACATTCCTTGGTATTTAAAAGTAAGGGTGTGGGCCTTGGCTGAACAGTCAATTGGACCGTGGATCTGTTGGAATGCTGCCGCTATTGTTGTGCTTTTACTGTTTTGCCCATAGATTGGGCCTAAACAACGGTTTTGCTTACCAATTTTCCTTTTTTGGTACATCAGAAGCTACAGTTTCAGCTTACCTCCTAAGGAACATGGTCCCTAGATGATCACTTTGTAAGATCATATGAATATCCACCGGAGGTGTGGGAAAAGGTGTAGTGCCCAAAGTTAATTTGTGACCCATGCATGCCATAAAATCCGCAGCTAAATTCCCCTCCCTAAGAGTGTGTTGTTCCAGGCAGCTGCTAAAGAAATCTATCAACACAAAGATGTCCAATAAGAAGCATCGAGGCTGGTCCGGCTGAAACTTGCCGATTTTGAATGAGTTGTATTGCAAGTAAAGAGTCCATTTCTAAGACCAACTGTTGTATCCCCAGAGAGTGAGCAAGCTTGAGACCTTCTCTACAACCCCACAACTCAGCCAAGAAACTTGTTGTGAGACCAACGTTTACAGCAAAGCCATGAACCCAACGCCTGTTGTGATCACGAATAAGTCCTCCAGCTGCTGCTTTGCCTGAGTGATGATTGTGGGATCCATCGGTGTTTAGTTTAAGATAAGGGTGTGGTGGTGGGGTCCAAGAGACCCATCTGGGAGCTCTGGTGTCATGAATCAGGTTAACTGATTCCAAGGCAAATCTTGATTCCAAAGCAAAGGTGTGAGCCTAGTTAGCAACAAGATGTGGCGGAATCTGTTGCCCTTCAAACACCAATTTGTTCCTACTCTTCCACAAGTGCCAGATGGTTGCAAGAAAGACTCACCGACTCCCAAACTAGCCGCGAGTAGAAACAGTCTCTTAGGAGGTGTAGAGGGGTTTCAGGTGATTGCTCACAACGAGGGCACACCGGCGCAGGAGCCATGTGGCGCTCAAAGCGAACGGAGTTTGTGAGAACTTTTCCTCTCCAAAGCAACCTCAGTGCAGCCTAAGTGCCAACTCCAGGTCCAGTCCTCAGGTCTAGGAGCATTAGGAATTCTAGACTGTTGAATAAGGCTAAAAGCTGACTCCAGAAGTGTTGAGTTACCTACCCAGATGTCATTCCAAAGCTGTATGTTACAGCCAGATCCTACTCTCCACCGTGTTCCCAACTGTAAAACATCTCTAGTTTTTAAGATGCTTCGCCACGTTATGGATGAAGAAGGCGTGGGATTGCAACTAGAGAAACTCGCTGAATGAAGGTATTTATGCTTGATAGCTTGGCACCATGGCTTCTCACCCCCTAAAAGTAGTTGCCAGCCTAACTTGGCAATCAAAGCCTTGTTAAACTCTTTGGCAGATCTCACACCCAGTCCACCATATCTCCTCGGTAAACAAATATCGTTCCAATGGACAAGGTGTGGTTTGTTAGTTTGTATATCTGAATCCCAAAGGAATTTGCGATTCAAGGAATCTATGGCTGAACATGTGCTGCTAGGAAGGAGAACTGTTTGCATGTTATAGGTTGGTATCGAGGAGGTTACCGATTGCACTAGTGTTCTCTTACCTGCCAGACTTAGGGACTTCTGTTTCCACCCTGCAAGCTTAATCTTCATCTTTTCAAGAATATGTTTGTAGTTACTGGCCTTGAACCTGCCATGGATAATAGGCACCCCAAGGTAAATGCCAAGATCATGCGTCAGGGGGATGCCACAAGCAGAACTGAAGGAGTTTGCTAACTGTCCCTAGATATTTGGAGAAACAAATAACTTAGACTTGCCCAAGTTTATCTCTAATCTTGATCGTCTTGCAAATTCAGAGAGACAATCCATAATAGTTTCAATTTGAGTGATTGAAGCTTTCCCAAACAACATGAGATTATCTGCAAGAAACAAATGTGAGAGTGTTAGTCCCCCACGTGATAGTCGGAAAGGAGTCCATTTGTGTTCTTGCAATTGACTCATAATCATATGGGAGAGTTTCTCCATCACCATAATGAAGAGGTACGGCGATAAGGGGTCACCTTGACGTAGACCTCTCTTTGGCTGGAAGTAAGGTAATTCCTCTCCATTCCAAATGACAGAAAGCTGCAATGAAGTAACTGAAAACATCATTAATCGAACTAATTGATCCGGCAGGTTGAAATCAATCAATACTTCCCTGAGGTACTTCCAATCTACACTGTCGAAGGCTTTATGGAGGTCTATCTTGAATGCTAGGGCCCCTTTTTTCCCTTTTAGCTGCCTCATAGAATGTATAGCCTCTTGAACTAGAATGGTGTTATCCATTGTACTTCTACCTGCGAGAAAACTGCTCTGTAAATGGCCAATTAGGTTCTGTAAGTGAGGACGCAATTTGTTAACAATTACTTTGGACAGGATTTTGTAGGCTACATTAAGCAAGCAGATCGGCCGAAACTTTTGTATCACGTCTGAGCTTTCCCCTTTAGGAATAAGAATAGTATGGGCCTGTAACATAGTGAGCTCAAAGAAACCATCAGAAAAAGACTTGTTGATAAAGGAATGAAGCGTACCCGAAACAATATCCCAATGTTTCTAATAGAAGATCGGTTGAATACCATTAGGACCAGGACTTTTGAGACCTTTCATGGAAAAAAGAGTTAATTTGACTTTCTCCATGGAAATAAGAAGCAACAAAGAAGAACTATCTTCATCTGACATTTTTGGCTGAAAGCAAGAGTAGTCGATGCCAGTAGCTCTAGTCTTCTTTTGGGAAAACAAATCCACAAACAAATCTTGGACATGATTCTTTAAGGCGATTGGATCTATCACCCAAGAATTATTTACTTTCAAGGCCGTGATTCAATTTTGTGCTCTTCTTATCACTGTAGATGCATGGTAGAATCGCGTATTCCTATCACCAGAATTAATTATTTCAACCCGTGATTTCTAACACCAAAATAATTCCTCTGCATGCAACACTTTGTGATATTCCTCTAGCAATTCCATTTCCAAATTCTGAAGGTAGAGGGAGTGATTGTAATGGGGGGAGTTCTGTATTCCCCTAAGCCGTGCTCTTAAAAGACGCTTGCATTGAAATAAATCCCCAAACACTGTTTTGTTCCAACTGAAGCTAGCTGTTCGAACAGCACTAATAGCCAAAGGAAGTGAGTGGTCGTGAGTCATCCATGCACAACAGAACACCTCCTTAAAACCCCCATGGGTCAACCAAGCGGCTTCAAATCTAGGTGGTTTTGCAGCCCTTGAAATTCGATTAGGGGGATCAATGTTTAACATGATGGGATGATGATCGCTGCATAGTCTTGGTAAATTAATAAGTTTTGCATCTGGGAATTCCTCAAGGCCAGCAAGATTGAAAAGTGCCTGATCAAGCCTCTCCCGCAGGGTAACTTAACCATTTGTCTGGCATATCCAAGTGAATATACACCCCAGTGAGTCCTTAGAGTGCAGATTACAAGCTTCTAGGTGTTCCCGAACACGACGAGCACTAGTGAACCTATGCACTGCTCTAGGTGAGGCTTCGTCAACAGTAGCTATGTCATTAAAGTCTCCCATCACAACCCAACTTTCAGTAGTAGATAAGGCT